CCCTGGCCCAGGTTGCCCAGGGAAGCTGTGGATGCTCCATCCCTGGAGGTGTTCAAGGCCAGGCTGGATGGGGCTCTGAGCAACCTGCTCTAGTGGGAGGTGTCCCTGCCCATGGCAGGTGTTGGAAATAGATGATCTTGAAGGTCCCTTCAACCCAAACCCTTCTATGATTCTTGATCCTGAAAAGCTGAACTTCAGCAAGCCATGGTGAAGCATTTACCTTCTTTTCTGGAAGAGCTGGTGACTGTTACAAGGCAGTCACTCAACAAGCATTTCTTCTCTTGGCAGGTCCATCAGTGAACAGTTCCCAGCCCCTTCCCAGCTGCTCATTTCTCTCACGTTGGTATTGGGTTTTGTGCAGCTGGGTGGCACATCACGTCAGGGAGCTGAGGCTGTTAGAAATGATCAATTGTGAGGTTTAATTCTTTGTGTGTTTTTAAAACATTCCAAGCAGCAATAAAAAGAAGCATGTTTTGCTTTTATCATTATTTCTAGAAAAGTAAGCTCAAGTCTAGTGTTTCTTTAATTGGAAGATAATAAAGTATCAGTAATAGCTTCTTTTTCTCCCCCTACCCCTTTTTTTTTTTAAGTTTGAGTTCTCTTAGCCCTGTAAAAGCTCCTGGAAAATGCATCCTCCTGCATCTATTTCTTCTGATCCAAGTCCCTGTCTCAGCATCTGTGAAGTAGTTGCCCTCCAAGATTATTCTTCAGCTGGAGCTCATGTTAAGCAAAAAAACAGATGCTGTTAAGTTTGTCGTGCTGGCAGGGAAGAAAACCTCAAATGTTGTAAGAATTTGCTGTAGGGCAACCTTCATATTCTCACCAGGTCCATGTCAGCTCCTAGAACAGGCTGTGGAGATCCAGGAGGAGACCTTCTGGCTCTGCACAGCTCCTGACAGGAGCCTGGAGCCAGGGGGGGATCAGGCTCTGCTCCCAAGGGACAGGACAAGGGGAAACAGCCTCAAGTTGCCCCAGGGGAGGTTGAGGTTGGACCTGAGGAACAACTTCTTCCCTGAGTGTTGCCCAGGGCTGTGCCAGGCTGCCCAGGGCAGTGGTGGAGTCCCCACCCCTGGAGGGGTTTCCAAGCTGTGGAGATGTGGTGTGAGGGACACGGGGCAGTGGGGACCTGGCAGGGATGGGGGGTGGTTGGACTGGGTGATCTTTAAGGTCTCTTCCAACCACAAAGTTTCTCTGATCCTGTGACCTTCTGTCAGGTCTGGCCAGGCTTGTTATTTCCTCTGAGGGTCCCAGAAGTACCCTCTGGAAAGCATTTTTGAGTCTTGTAGGGGGCAACAGACCCCCTCGTGGGAGGAGATGTGTCCCAGCATGCTGAAGGAGGGAACCCCACTGCACTTGTTTTACCCCCTCCCTTCTCAGGTGCTTTTTTGGGGCACCTGGTGGGTCTGGCTGTTCCCAAAAGGAGGCACGTGGTCTGCCCCTGCCTCCACTCCAGGGGCAGTTCACACACTTGCATCTGAGTGGCTGGTAAAAAATCAAAGTCCTTTCAGTATCCTGCATGTTGTTGTGTCCAGGAGTCTGTTTCAGTGTGTTCTTTGATGTGGTGTTTTAGATGAGAGTGTTTTTTCCTGGCCAGTCAGATAGGTGTGTCCTCTCCAAGCTTCTCACCTGTATTTTGTAGAAGCAGTTAGGGTTTGAAAAATAACTTCTCCAAAACTAAATTGCCTGATTTGATTTGTTTCCCATTTCAAAAGGACAGTCGTGGAGGGCAAGAGAAGGGAGTAGAGGCAGAGGAAAGTTTGGAGGTCTGGATTTGGGTGTGTCAGAAACGATCAACAAAGGTGATGGGTATGACAAGACCTGTCTTGAGGCTTCCTTCAGTGGTTGAGCCCAGGGGTGGTCTCTGCTGAGCTGCCATCCTCCTGAGCCAGTGGGCTTGCTGAGAGCTGGCAGAGCTCCAGTCCATGCTGGTCACTGCTCTTTGTGGTGTCCTGTGCTTCTGAAGACCTGGGTGTGAAATGCAACCTCAATTTTTCATGGGTTCCACCTCTCCTTGTTCACCTACTGCTGCTTCTTACTGTTTAGTGTTAGCTGCTCCCTCAAGAAAGAGCCATCTCTGGCTTTGTGTGCCCAGCTGGTGGCTGCTGCTGTTTGCTGAGGTGACTGGCAGGTTTCCCTGGGGCTGGAGGTGTCCAGGGGGAGGCAGTGGTGGCTGGCAGAACCCGGCGGGCAGCTCCAGGCTGCGCTCGGCCCCCGCGGGTCACGTCGCCAGGAAACATCCATGGGGGCCTTGGGTTGCTTTGATTCTTTTTCATGTTAGATAAAGGGAGGGTTTAAAATAGCAGGCACTCAGTTTCTTTTCAAGAACAAGCAGTGAATTTTTTTCTTGGCGTCCTAAAAATATTGACGCGCTTAAAGGAAAATTTCACCCTTCTGTCCTTCCCAGATAAGGTTTTGAGAAGGTTTGTGCTGCAGGAACACGTTTTCAACACAGCAGTTGCTTCCCTGAAAGAGTTGGCGTTCAGCTGGTGAAGATAAACCCAGAAATACCCATTTCCATCCCATTCCTCCTCCTCCTTCTGCTTTTAGATCTGCAACAAAAGGGGTTCCGGGGGCACCGTTGGCTGCTCTGGTCACCTCTCCTTTATGGAAGCTGTTGTGCTGAGCCAGCCTGAGCGTTGCTGCTGCTCTGCACTGCAAAACTAGGCAGATTTTGGGAGAGGATGCTGAACTGCAGACAGGCAGTTGGGTTTCTCCTGTGGCAGCCTGGCTGGCAGCATTCCTGTGGCTTTGGAAGGGCTGCTCTGGCCCAACAGCGTCACGTTAATAGTGAGGGACCATCCCATTAATAATCCAGCTTTAATCTACTAAATGCTCTTTAAAACACTCGATCCCAAAGGGTTTAGTGGCTTTTCAGCTGAGTAAAATTCTGCAGAGGTGCTGGTGATGCTGCTGCCATGATGATTGAGTGCCTTCTGATGGCATTGATACATCCAAACCTAAAAGCACTTAGCTGTGAACTTACTTAAAATATTAAATTGGCAGGTTAAAATTGAACCCTACAGTCATGAATACAACATATAAAATACTTCATTTGCTGTCCAGAAGCTATTTTAGTACAAGTATTATATTTGTGTGCTTAAAGAGTAACATGGCTCTAATAAAAACTTGGAAGAAAAGCACAATTAAAACAGCATTAAGCCATATCAATTAATCTATAGAATGGAGCGTGGCTACTAGGAATTAAGTTTTCATTCTTTTCATAGAGCAGTCTGGGTTTTGCTATAATCCCCCCAAAAATGGGCTGTCCCTCCATGGCAGGGCCACAGAGGTGGTGGAGCCACGACGATGACTCTGAAGGTGACACCAAATGATTTGTTGGCTCCTCCTAATGACAATCAATCAGCCTGGTGGGTAAAGGTCCAACAGCTGCTTCCCTCCTTGCCATCTAAGGCTAAAAATGTGGCACTGCTTCATAAAAATGAGTAGAAGGGAGTTGGGAAGTAAGACAGAAGGGAAAAGAAAGAAAGAGGAGAGTTAGGAGGAAAGTGGTATCACCACCCATGAATCCTGTGGTGTTGTCTTGAGTCAAGGTCCTGGTCTGTAGGTGCTGGGTCAATCCTGATTCTTTGTGTCTCAAGATTTTGTAGAGGATTGTCCTCCTCTGGGGCAGTGTCCTTGTTGCTGGGTGCTCTCTAAGTTGCCCATGCATATCACAGGCTTGGGAATCTTTTTGCAATGATTTGAGGGGTGTTTCATGGGGGTCTTGGGTGGTCATTTTGATCAGGTACCCCCATAAAGCATCCAAGTGCTGTTTGACCCCATCTGTGGAGGTGCTCTGCTGGAGTCAGGGGAGCAGAGCTGGTTGGCCCTGCCTCTGCTGGGGCCACCAACTCCTCCTGTGTCTCCACTGCAGAGCCAGATCTTCTGTGGAGTTTGGAGGCAAGTTCACCTTCTCATCCTGGGCAGCTGCCTCCTTCTGTGGTTTCTATTAACCCTTCCATGCCACTTATTTTTCTCAGTGCTTGCTGCAGTGTTTAGATTTCCTGAAAAATTTTTAAGCAGTGTGTTGAATGAGGAGATGACTTTTGTTTGGAGTGCTAAAGAGTTTGGAGTTTTTTTCCCTCTTGGAACCTCCCTGTGAAATATTTAATGACATGGAAACACCAGAAGCCCTTGAGCAAATTCCAACCTAGGGCTGTGACTTAAAGCTGGAGCAGCTAAACAGGCTGCACAGAAGCAGGTTCTTGTCATTTACAAACAACCCTTGAAGTGCAGTGTTGCATTTTTGGAACTTTTAAAATCCTTATCTGTCAGTCCAGTGCTGAAAATTGTATGTAACACTTCCCAAGCCAGCACAGAGCTGTGATAATCTGTACAAGGTGCTGCCTTTTGGTGCTTTGTGTGTGGTGTGTCCTTTTTTTGGTATGGCTGAGGAAGTTTTGGCTGAATGGAATTGACTATTAAAAATAATCAACCTTGTTTTTCTTTACAGAAAAAGCTACAAATGAATATAACACCAGTGAGGACTGGGGGCTTATCATGGACATATGTGACAAAGTTGGAAGCACTCCTAATGGGTAAGCTGCACCTTGGCACCACAACTTGGGATTTCACATTCCCCTGAATAGTGCAGGTTCAGAGAGAACCCCTCTCCAAATGCTCATCAAATCACAGCCTGGTTTGGGTGGGAAGGGACCTTCAAGATCATCCAGTTCCACCCCCTTCCATAGGCAGGGACACCTCCCACTAGAGCAGGGTGCTCAGAGCTCCATCCAGCCTGGCCTTGAACACCTCCAGGGATGGAGCATCCACAGCTTCCCTGGGCAACCTGGGCCAGGGGCTCACTCGTAGCAGTCAGCTATCCAAAAATCACCACTGATCTGACAGCTCTGCAAGCTCTGCAGATACCAGGAGCTGCCTTTAAAGTTCTTTGAAAGAAATGTTCCAGCAGGGTTTCTAGTAGAGCTGAGAGCATTCCAATTTTTATGGAGTTCTGCACAGCAGACCAAGTTATTCATATTTAATGATCTTGCATAAATTTTGAGCAACAACTGTGCCAGCAGGAAAAAGTGAACTAGTTTCTTTGCAGAAAATGAGCTAGCAGCTAGGAGTGTTAGCTGTTTGTGGGGAGAAACTGCTCTGTGTTTACTCACTAGGAAGAACAAGACTGAGGGAAGAGAAAAGGGGAAAAAATGGGGATCAAAACCTGGATCAGTTGGAATCAGTTTAGCCTGAGTGGCAACACTGAAACATAAGTGGTGGTTCAGTGGTCCTGTAATGGCCAAAAGCATTTGCTGAGTTTTAAGCTGATCTTTTTGAGGGACAACATGGTTTAAATTTGAGGGTAAACCTGAGTTAGTGCATAGCCAGAATTCTGAAGTGATCTTGGAATTTTTATCAGTTACATGTAACATTTAAGATCACCCCGCTAAGAAAGTTGTTTGGTTTATTTTTATTATTAATTGCCTCCCCCAGGGAATAACAGCACATCTCTTCAGTCTAGGAATCTTTAATCCTGAAGAAAAAAAAGTGTAGAATGTCCTTTGAGTCCTTCATTAAAGATCTTTTTATAGCACCAAAAGACTTTTGTAGAGGGAGCTGTTTGAAATCTGCTTCTTCTGGAGGAGGGGTGATTAAAGAAAACTTAGTTTTTGTTTTTTTTTAATTACACAAGCACAATTTATCAGTATATAAAATATGTCATTAGATCTTAATATATATTTTTGTATATACAGTAAAATACTAAATGCTGAATTTTAACTTCCACTGCTGCTAGGATGTTTTACTTCACATTTGTGTCGTTTTCTTCTGTCCTTCATTAAGAACCACCTTCTGAAAGCAATAAATATTGTTGCCTACCCTGAAATAAATGTCTAGCTTAACAAGGAGTGCATTGGCTTTGTTGGGCTGTTGGAGTATTAGCTCTGTGAGTTCTCTGGCTGTGCTTAAAACACGAGTAGCTCAGCAGGACAGGGCTGGAGCAGCTGCAGCCATCCAGCGCGCGGCTCAGCGTGTTTGGGGTTGTTTCCCCCCCTTCAGAACAGGTTTAATCTCTTCTCCAAAACTTAATATCCACACCAGAGCCTGTGCAGGTTTGTCTGCAGAGCCTGGAGCACGTTTGGTGTGCACAGAAGAGCTCTGGGCTCAGTTTCTGCCAAAAAGGGGATAAATCTGCACGCACAGAACGCCGCTGGGAGCTGAACGTGCAACACGTGGGGGTTGTCAGGCATTCCTTCAAAACCAGGCTGCAGCTTTAGACCAGAAGGTGACTAAAGAGGCAGTTTGCTGCACACGTGGTGTGTTGAAACCTCTTGGTGGTGGGTGGGGTTGGTTATAAAGATACCACGTTGACCCTTTACATAGATTTCATGATTTTAGGGAGTTCAGAAGACCAGTGTTAATGCAGCCTTTACATATGCCTCATGCCATGTAGCTGCTCGTGCTCTTAATGCTCATCTTCAGTGTGAAACTCCTCAGCAGAGTAACATTGAGGGTGCTCATCATTATTCTATGCTCCCCTCATTTGCTGAAACTAATTATGACATCTTTGTGTGCCCTTGGTGTCTTGAAAATGGGATCTGAGAGCTGACAGCCTGTGAGCACGATTTTTAAATGAAATCCATAGGGACCCTTTACAGTAGCCAGGAAAATAACCATTTATTTAATCACCAGTGCTCCTCGTTCTTTTTTTTTTTGTTATTATTATTATGTAGACATTTCTTTCATTGTCTATTTCAAATCCATTTCCTCAGCTTCATGGAAAATTGCTCCCTTTATGACCTGCCAGCAGTTTTAGGGAAATGAATGCAAAATGCCAGTGTGAAAATGGAATCTGCTCCAATCCAAAACAAATATAATAAAAACCAAGTTGTGAAATAGGTTTTTTTTTCCCAGCCTAACTCTGAGAAAAGTTTAGGTTAGGTGGCATTTATCTCAGCAGAGCCAGTTTTGTTTGCTCACCCAGCTGGAGGAGCTGTTTCTTCCACAGATCCTGTCCCTGCCATTTCTCACAGTTTCTCTGTTCCTTTTTCAGAGCAAAGGATTGCCTTAAAGCCATCATGAAGAGAGTCAATCACAAAGTTCCCCACGTGGCTTTGCAAGCACTGACAGTGAGTAGACTGTCACTATTTTCCAAAAACCTTGTGTTCTTTTAAGGTAACACAGCTGTTCAACGCGTGTCGGTCGAATAACAACTCTCTGTTTATATTTTCCTTTTGTTCCTGTGCTTTTATTTTGGATTATTTTCATTGTTGTCATATGTTTTCACAACTGGGTTTCTGTTGTCAGCTTTTAGGAGCCTGTGTATCAAACTGTGGGAAAATATTTCACCTAGAAGTATGTTCTCGTGACTTTGCCAGTGAAGCTCGAAGTATAATTAATAAGGTAATTTTTTTATAACCTTATGGACTGGAGAGAATTATTTTGGTGACTTCTTTGCTTTGTTTCAGCATAGCAAAGAATTGGCAAAACTGATGTTCCAGTTGCTATGTGTTTTCTAGTTCTGTGGCAGTTGCAGATACTGCTGCTTGTTTGTTGTGGACTTTAATTTTTACTGTGAAGATAAAATGTATTAAAGAAGTGACAGGCTGATAATGCCTATTCCAAATTTTTGCAAAATTACATGAGCAATTTTAATTAAAATCTGTGACTCTTCCTAAGATCAATTAATTTGATAATGGTGAAGGGAGCTTTTCTCAAAGAGGATTTTTCTTTGGCTTGAATGAAATTCACGGGCTGAAGTGGAAAGAGAAAAGAAGAAGAAAATTAAGCCACATTTTTACAAGGAAAAGGATAAAGTCTTCAAACAACGTTGTTAGTTTCAGAGCTTCTCAGAATGCTGAATGAGTAGACAAGAGAGGAAGACCTAAATGGTTGGGGTCAAGCAGCTGATGGGATCTAAATTTGGATGTAATGAATTGAATAAGCAGAAGCAGCTTTCCCCTAATTACTGCTCCAGTTGAAGACAAAAATGGCTAATGGGCTAAAAAGAAGTTACTCTTCAAATCTGTGGGAGGCCTGGAATCATCAGAGGTGGAGCAAAGTAATTAAGGAAAGTAATAAAATTGCTGGGAAGCAAAATGAGTTCACAGCTCTTCCGTTTCTCTCTTTGCATGGAAAAATAGGTCTTCAAGTTCTCCCCTTTGTTCTCATTAGCCATGGTCCATTCTGAAATAGAACATTAACCTGCATGGTCTGACAGCACTTGTGGACATAGGAACAAACCTTTAATGCTTTGGGTTGGCACTACAGCCCTTTCATCAACCACCAACAAAACCAGAGTGACTCCAGCCTGTGGAGCTTTGGTCTGGGTTTTACCCTCGTGGTGCTGGCATGACATCACAAATATCAGCTGCTCTAGTGAAGAGCTGTCCTTTTTGTTCCAATAAATATTTCTAAGGCTGTTACATCCTTACAGGATTAAGAGCAGCTGATGTTTCATGTTCCTGAGGTATGCTCTGAAGGGGATTCTTGAGCCACACCGTGGAGTAATACATGACTCTGACCTGCTTTTCTGAAGGTGGATTAGCACTTTGAGTGAGGCTGTTAGCACATCACATTTGCAGTGCTGAATGAAGTCAGTGCTCCTATATTTAGAGTAGCCATGGATCCTGTGGCTGAGGGTGGAGGAAGGGGAGCTCTGTGGCACTGTACCCAGTGCATGATGAGCCATTCCTTCTTGTGAGAGCATCTGAGTCCAGGAGACATAGGTGTGTACAGAGATCAGGTGCTTGTGAGGTCCTGTCAGCTGAGAATTCAACCAGGAGATGTGTTCTGGCATCTGAAGAGAGGACAGCAGAGGTTGTAAGAGGTAGG